ACATAAAATGTGATTGTCTAGTCTGTCGTGTACCGTACGGATTAAAAATACTGTAGTGTGGTCTAAAAGTAAGAGGTGTGCATAGACTTCTAAAAGTTACAGAAAATGACCATATTTTTTGATCCCATTAGATTATAAAAAGTCTGTCGAACTAAGTGGTTTTAAATCAAAGGTATGATTACCCTATGAATAGATTGCTGGCGAGCTACATTAACGACAGTTGGGGAAATCTCGGTTGAATTTGAGCATCTGAACAGGAGTACAGGTGTACACAGAAAACTGACAAAAACATATCTGACAGTGATTGAGCTTTGGCTTACGTTCGGCTCATCGTTTTGTTTTGGTCTAACTTAGTTATTCTGCCAACCTGGTATTTGCCATTCAGCTATCAGATTTTGAAGCAGTAAGTACTTGCAACTGTTAACCACACCGACACCAGTGAAATTTTATAATCCGTCTTTGTGTATAACAAAATCATTTAATTAGCTCTCCTCATTTGTAGGACACTAAGAGGTTGTGCAAACTGAGAGAAGTGGCCGCAGCACCGTAGAGAAGCTGATAACTCTGAAAATATCAGAACTCGAAAATGACTCTCATGTTATCAATAATTTTAGGCTGAATAATCGCTTACAAACTGTGAGTTTCGGCCGTTTCATGTTGCATATTTTCATATCCGTTGAAGTGATTTTAAGTAAAAATTACAACAAAATTGCTTACACCTTTATCGTCTGAGAGTGTGTTGAATACCAACCATACAGGACCTTGCAAATTACAAAAATGCACGCGGCTTTTGCCTTATAAAAGATTGTTTGACCACATATATGTCATCATTAGTCTCTCTCTCAAAAGATATAATTACTAGCTTTTTAATCGAGATGTTTTCCAGAAACTGGCGTTAGCATCAAGTTAATCCTGCAGGTGAATTGCCCCTCGAATACTAACAATAAATATTAAGGTTGATGGAACTAACTTGCTTTATATCTACTTCACTTTCATATTATCCCCCATAACCTGTTGCAACTAACTTAAGCCGTTCACGGTACGTGCAAACCCTTTTTAATATTCTATCGGAAAAAAATCTGACAACTATCTCACAAGGGCTGAAGTTAATTTGATTCAACTCTTCCGGTATTCCAGCGTGTCAGAACCCCATGAGGCAGCCCGTGTATTATCAACGCAACTTTTTGTAAAGCACGTATTACGTGTTGGTCTGGCATATGCATGTTTGTAATGGTTTGCTTTAATATTGGTCACCTGTCGTCTAAGCTTTTTCCATCAATGTTTGTTTGCCTTCGCACGATAGAATATTACATATTTATTTAGCTTAAGACAGTCACTCTTTTTGGCAGTTAAGGCGTGTACCTTTTTTTATCTTTATGGAGTTTCTGGATGCAAGATGTAATTAAAGCCGACAATTGCCTAATCAAACCTACGATTCTTTCTAGAAAAGTGCAATAATGCTGTTCCTTATTTTCGTCTCCAGGGTTTGTGCTCACGAGTCCCTCCCCTTCCTCCGACCTTATGACGCACTATTTAGCGCCCTCTCCTTCCCCCGCCATACGTGTTTTATGCTGTATCTTGACCGGTTCTGCGTGGATTGCTTGACGGTTCCTCCCCAAGACCGACCGCTATTCACCGGCAATTAACATTATCAACAGCTTAGTGCTAAAAAAGAAAGTCGCGTAAGCACTAGGTGATCACGAATCTACGGAAAGAACTGCAAAATACTGCTGGAAGTACACATAAATTATGGCTATAAGCAACGACAAATCACTATAAAAATGATGCTTTGTTGATGGCCGAAAATAACTACACCTACTTTCGCCATCGACACAGTGACACAGCGACTGAAAAAGGTACACAGTAAGGCAACCCGCGACACACAAGCCGCGGGTAGCAGTAAGGCGCCGTTTTACTGAAGTTACAGACGGGATAGGCAACACCCTAGGAATGCGTTATTGCAACATGCACGTCCGTTCAGTGAAGAATCACGTCACTAATTCAGTTTGGAAGCAACAGAACCTGAGCAGTTGAAGCATCTTTATAACCTCGAGCATGTCAGTTAACCGAACATGAGAAATATGTTGATTTCAAAATCTCACATACACGAGTCAGAGCTTAGCTGCACTATGAAATTATACACACCTGCGTTATAAAATCGGAGGTCGTGTTGGTGCCTTCATAATTATGAAAACGCCTACTTTCAGTACGCATTAAAATTATGTATTTTCGAAGTGTTATCGCCTGAGTCGCATTTAGTCACTTTATGTGACTAGTACTCACGAAGTCTGCATTTGTATCTCTCTCGAGATAGAGTGATTTCCAACGGAACATCAGGTTTAGCAGTGCTCAACGATGCCTTACATTTACAGATTGGCACAGCGCTACAAACCCTGGATTTTCTTGTGTCTCACGGAGACACGGCAACTACAAACGGAGTGGACGTGGAATTGCGTGCGAACTCTGAACAGAAATGTTCTGCCACCAGCCAAAAAGCATCTGACAGGTGAGACGCCTACTAGGTAGGCCTTTTTGTCTCCTTATTTTAAAACGAACTCAGTTACAGCCAGGCTTATCGCGTCCGCGATCGTCTTGTAACACATGACCACCACAAAACGTATATTACGATTAACAGATAGCAATAACAGCAAGATTTATTGGATCCATGGCATTTCGAAGAAAGCTCCACAGTTGTCGCCTCTCATTGCATAACGTGAATCACATAAGAGAAAATACAAATTGAATTCATATAAAAAAGCGATACAAACACAAGGTCGCCACTTCCGCTACCTGGACGCAGCCTACATACGGCGTTTCAAAGC